AAATGCCAGTTATTCTAACAGTTGGGGATAGGAAGGAGGAAGGGCCTGAAATTTTGCAGGCACATCAACTTGGGCAGCTACTGAAGGCCCAGACCCCCTCGCAGTGCCACTGCTAACACCTGCCTGGCTCTTCTGTCATCAGCACTCTTATCGGCCTAGGACTGAGCAGCTGCAGTTTCAAGGCCACTGTTAAGACGTCCGTAATATCCTTGAAGCACCACTTTTTATTACAGTTATACAGTTCAATTGCAACCTTTCAGAATACAGATCCTACCAAGGAAGTTTACAAGGAAGGTGAAAATAACAAAACTGCAGTAGATTTTAGCAATGCTTTAGAAATCACCTGGATCCTGACCTTGGGGCAGTCGGTAGACGACGGGACTGTGGCAGGGAGAGCACGACTGGAGCAAAGCAAGAGCTTTGCAGTACCTGTGCCCTTCTCTCCTGGAACCCTTCCCACAATGGAGGATGGCCCTGTGGTGGTGGGACTGCCACTGAAGCAGGTCCTAGGGCCTTTGCCGGACTCTCTCCGGACCCCACAGGCCAGCTCATGATGGATGTCCTACGCCCATCTGCCTGCCCGCCCGCCTCAGAGCATTGCTCCAGGACATGGTGGGCAAAGCAAGGCAGTGGCTCCAGGGGAGTGTGCTGTATGTTAATGCAGCCCCACCAGATACAATGGTGGTGTCAAGTGGGACCCACTGAGAAGGGGTCCTTTCCCGTGCCTGGAGTCAGTTCTAGCACTTAGCTCCCCTTTCTGGCACCTGTGTGGGGAAAGGATGGGCCACCCTGTGTCAGGAGAGCAGGTCAATTTTCTTGATAATTAATTTATCAAAATGTGTGAGCCATTTTAGCAATTATATACCTTATGGAGAACCTTCTAGAACAGTTTTCCCCAACCAAACACCCTCCAGGTATCTCAGACTGCAACTCCCATAATCCTCAGCCAGTGCCCCCCGGCTTAAAATTATGGAAGTCGTGATCCAAAACATATGGAGGGTACCACATTGGAGAAGACTGTTCTAGTCTCCACCTGCTCCTATATTGTAAGTAGAGGCTGAAAACATACAAGAAATGGTCTCATAGGCTGGGAATAATGAGATCTTCAAGTACTCCATTATGCAGACAGTTTAGCTTGCAGAGTAAGATGTGTCAAAGCTTTCTCTAACACCATTGTATTATTCAAGGAAAGTCAGTGCAGTAGCCTCTGCATCCTCTTTTCTGAGGTCATCAATCCGATTCTCTTTCCCAAAGAAACCACAGATCCCTCCCTCGCAAGCACTCAAGCTGTCTTCGCCACTTGTTTGCTTGCGAGCATGCCAGCAAACACATCAATTGTACAGGTCTTATGTGGGCACATGTACTTCCCTCTGGGATCTTGATCTAGGCCTAGCTGGACTCTTGGAGGAAAAGTAAGAAGGCAGCCTGATCCCCAAGTGTTTCAAACATAACTTTATTCAGGGACACTCTCAGAAACAACCAACCTGAGCTTCTGGTTTCAAACTGCATCACAACATTCTAGCCTAGCCTCCCCAAGATGGTGTCCTCCACTCCCAGAATGCTTGACTGTTAGCTAGGGTGGCTAAGGCTGATGGGACCAGGCTGGGGGAAGCTGCTCTACCATGTTCTCTCAGGGGTTGTAACTAGAAGTATTCCATTTCAGCTACTGGCCAATGAAGGTTCTCTCTCTCTTTTCCATTTTAAAATTAAAACTAATGTTGCATTGGGAGCGCTTCAGAAAATGCACAAACCTTCATTTTTACATGTAATATGAGGAAAAGAGAAAAAAATGCTGTGTGTGCCTGGAGTAATATGATAATGATCTTGAATGGTATTTGTAATTTTCTGGAACATCAAATATAATACTTTATGGCTGTAAACCTGTATCCACTTACTTAGAAGATATACAAGTTTAGACAGAAAAAAAGCCTAACAGCATCTGTTTGCTATGTATCCTTTCAGAACACTTGTTGCTGTTAAGGAGAGGCAAATGACCGAAAGAAAGCAAACGAAACAAAGGGCAGAAGTTTTCTCCATTACTAGTAGCTGGACAAGCAATCTCTTTGGCATATTGGTAAGAGCTTGCAAGATGCTACAGGATGCGTGTGAGCATTCCAAGTGCACAGAAGCTTTTTTGGCATACTAGGCCTCGGGCAGGGGATAGGTAGTGTGACATCTGTGGTCACCCATGCGTCTGTCCACACCTTTTTTTTCACTCCCAGCAAGGTGTGCTGCTCTTCCCACTTACTAAAACCAAACTCACAAGTTTTCTTATTGACAAGCGGGCTTGGTTCTAAGCAAAGTGTGAGCCTTCAGATCTTGTCATGTTCACAGCTCATCAATGCCTCTGGCTCAGGGACATTCTTAGGAAATGGAAGATGCTTCTTGTCAGCAAGTCAATGCTCTTCCCCGCTCTGCAGCAAAATGCCCTATTGAAACCCACCAAAACATTAAAAGGAAACAAACAAGCAAGCAAGCAAAGCTCTGGCTTTGAATCATGGAGCTGAATGTGTTGAGGCTCAGAGCCCCCAGCTGCTGTGACCTCAGTCTCTGAGCTGGCAGTCCATCCCTCGCACCTAGCCATGCCTCCCATGGCAGTCGGCACGTCGTGGTGCTCACCGCAGCTCAGCAAGTGGCCAGAGAGGCACAGGGGCTCAAGCAGGCCGCCTCCCCCGAATTAGGGCCTCCTTGTGGCTGCTGCAGAGGCGAGCTGGTGTGCAGGCGCCTGAGGGCTGTTCAGGTAACACGAGCTCCGAGATGAGCATTAGGCCCCAACAGGGCTCCTGAGTTGCCTGCAGCCACCCGGTTACTTCACAGAATTTCCCAACTCACAACTTATTCTCTCAGCCACTATGTTACGCTGGCTGAGCAGGGTCTGGATGCTGCTAATGGGGAGCACTGCACATCTGGTTGGACAGTCTCCAGGATTTCCTCGCAACCACTCTGCACATGCGATCGTGCTGTTGTTGCTGCTGCTCTTGTTTGGAAAAAGAGCAATCCATTATTCTAGGCAAATTGAGACAATGCAGTGCTACAGATTTCTAAACACGTTAACCAAAAAAAGCATGAACCACTTTCTGAATTTACTTGTAACAGATAAAACATGTTGTTGCTTTTAAAATAAAACAGCCAGCATTTAATTCAAGGTTTAACAGCACAGTGTTTTTTTCTTTCTTGTTTTTGAGTGTTTCCCTTTTAGTTTACAGAAACACAGTAAAAAGCAGGAACTTTTCACTATCAGAGTGAAACAGAAATTGAGTATGCTTATCCCATGCACAGATTTAATTATTTCTGATCATGCTTGTTGAAGAAAGAGGTAGGTTTATTAAAAACACTGTTTCCAACTGCACAAGAATCTGGTGCAGCGCCCTGAGTCCCCAAAATGTGAGCATCTCCCAGAATGTTACTAATGGAAAATAAGACAACAGTTCATATTCTGAATAGCACAAAAACCTAGTTTCCATTGCAGTTTTTTTTTTAACAACTGCACAGACTGTATCCAGCTGCATGCTAGAATTAACTCTTTTCCTCCAAAATGTATGCAGCACTTCCACAGTGTGATCCCATCAACAAACCTGTTGCACAGCAGTGTGGAGACAGAATGTCCAGGACGCTACTGCTTCAGTCCTTCACTTGCAAGCCCATCAAAATCTCTTGGAGACTGCCAAAGAACAGCACTTGAGAGCGCCAGAAGATCAGTGAAAAGAAAGGGAGAAGGCACTGCAGGCTACAGGAAGCAATAGGTCATGGGAATAACTTCTTTAAGCCCATATGTTAAAGCCAGTTTTGCAGAAGCTTTCAGGGGTCATATTCTGTTGGTGAATGGGGGCCATAGGTAGAGGAGTTGGGCCCAACATAACAGAACACACAAACAAAGGCCAGCATATTACAATGTGCCACTGGGGATATTTTGTGCAGTTATAAAAAGGGAAAACAATGTGCTGAGGAAACTTAAGTTTTTGTGCAGCTAGGAATATGAACTTTGAACTTTTTATTGTTCTCCACTGGAAAAATTCGGGAGGTGCTCACATACTAGGGACGTGGGGGCTGCACCCGTTTCTCATGCAGTTGAAAACAAGCTTTATAATAACCCCCCTAATGTGGCTTAAAGCTCTTACTGCCAGGAATTACAGGAATTTCTACACGGGGCTTTTATTGGGATCCCATGGTTTCTCACCTCTGGCTGACTACAAGTGTTTCGCACAACAGCTTCTCCTGTGCTGAGTATTTCCACACTTTGTTAGAGCAAGGTGAATGAGCGATTGACGGGCTACCACGTAAGGGAACAGGTGTGCATCATTGTGCTACCACCCTGCCAAAATACCACCGTGTGGTTGCAGAATGGAACAAGCAGAAAGGCAGCGAAAGAAAAATTGGGAAAAACATGAAACGGTTCCTATCTCAATCAGTCAAGGAACCAGGCACAGCAGTCTCAGTAAACTGCTGTGTTAAAATGTATTTAAAAACTAACAAAGAGGCTTCCTAAGCTTTGGGACCTGCTGCAGAGGTTTTCAGGAGAGAGAGAAAACTGCAAAAAGGTCAGAAAAACACTTTCATGCAGTTTTCCCACACTGACAAAAAGCAAGGCTTTTACAGGCTTTGCTGCCTGCAGTCAGAGCTTTAATCTACAATAGTCTTCTCTTGGGGCCAAATATCAAATGGGTGCACGTGTGGTATCTGGTATCTAAGAACTCACCAGTTCGTAAGCAAGTAGGCACAGATAGTTACGGACGAACAAGTGGCTCCATGCATCCCCCCCCCCCTTTATGCTCCAGCCCTTGACAACCATGGGAAGGTCCATGGCAGGGTGACTCCAGCAGCGTTCCTTGTGAAGAAGGGGAGAAGTTCCCACAGAGGCAGAGTGGGATCTATCAGCCCAGCTATCTTACTGCATCACTGTGAGTGCATCAGCTCAGCTGAACGGAGTGATCTCACAGTCCCAAAGCAGAAAAAAATGGAGTCCTTCTACGGATCACACTCTCCAACCGCCCCTCATTTACCTTTGAAAGAGTCCTTCCATTTGCCATCAGAGTCACGAGTCCCGCACAACACACCAAGGCACTGGAACTGGAGAGGCCAGAACTTGCAGGGATGGTACCTTCCACCAAGCAGTTCATGCCACTTGGGCTGTCGAGGCGGCAGTGCTCCTAACAGCGAGAAAATAACAGCATTAACATCCAGACACCCATTCTTAATGTGGAATAGGGAAAGGCCCGTTCTTCCACTGGTGTGGGATCCAGCCAGGATGGCATCCATTCCTCCCCCAGTTCTCATAGGAGCCATGCAATATTTGGGGACTGATGCACAAAGCTACTGAGTTTTGGCAAAAAGGCCTATTGGGGATCCCAAATGTGGGGCCTGGAAGGACTCCAAAGCACCCTCCCACTAGTTCTGGCCATAGGGGAAAAAACCTACAGTGAAGTAGCCAGACCAAAAATGAAATTGATTTTAACAATGAGGCCAGAGCAAGTTGGACAGGGCGCCAGGATAATCCACTGGACTTGTTGATCTGCCAATTTCTTTCAATATGGGCAAGTAATTGTCGAGTAAGGGCACTGGGATATTTTGCCATCCTTCCAGGCTGCCTGCTTGCACAACGCATTGTCTGCTCCATATTACTTGCTGGCAAACAGACCCAGGCACCCGACAACAGGTTTTTTCTAAGCAGCTAAATCCAGAGTAAGAGCCCATCCATTTGTCCCATAGCTATTTAAAGAAAAAAATCACCAGGCACCGCTGAGGAGACACCAAGCATCACCACTGTGTTAAACCCAAGTCAGCCTGTGAAAAAGGGTGTTGTCTGAAGAGGCCTGAGCGATATGTTCTGCAGGCCACTTTTGCAACAGCAAGTCGATTCCATACAGCTTACAGCCGAGGCTTGGGAAAGGCAGCTCATTTTAACTTGCAGCTGCACTGAGACTGACTCGGTCCTCTCAACTCTAACGGGGCAGAGTCAACTGAAGTGGTCTGTGGCTTACCCTATAAAGTAATCATTTTGACTCCCAGTCTCCTAGTATATGAGCAGCAGACAAGCTACTCAGGCCAGCAACCTCAACCCGTAAGCTAAAATATGTTAACAATTTTCCCCAAATGCCACACTGTCAATCAAACACCCCAGTTTAAGCCAAATGGAAATTTTACAGGTAGCTCATATGCCGAATGGGATGTCAACATGTCAAATCAAATAGACATCAAATGTATTCTTGCTAATACAGATGGAGAAAAAATAATAATCATATATAATGATAAGAGGAGGGAATTGTGGTTGCTATTTCCCATTCCCAGCATAGAAACATAGGAACAGAGCGAGTCAGAAGGGGCCGCCCGGGCCATCCAGTCTGACCTCCGGCACCAGCCGGCTCCGCTCACGACATGCCCACCATGTGGACGTCCAGCATTAACTGAGCATTAGTTAATTAGTTAATTAACTGAGCAGAGAGCTTATGCAGCTGGACAGTATGATATGGTAGATTTTTTTAATGCTGGAGATTACTTTCCCCAGCTAAAAATTGGCAGAACGTATTTGAAGTGGTTTTGCTTTTCATGACAAGTAACGAGTCTATATTTTTAGAACAAAATGGTATTTTGCAAATATTTATCCCATAGCCTCTTTGAAGAGATCTGAAAACAGAATGCATGCAACACCCACACATCTTACATCAAGAAGTACAACCATGCATAGCACTGCTTTAACATGCAACTCTCTGTGAGGTACATACACACTGGGAAGGTACATGATTTCTGTACTATTTCAAACAGCTTAGTTTCATGCATATTTAGTTGGAAGCAAGTTAAGCCAGGGGCTCCAATGCAAGATGGCAAGCACTTCTACGTTGTTCTCCAGCATAATCAAGAATAAAAACCAGGATTTTTTCAAAAGGATACAGTGATTCCAGAGGCCACATTCCGTACCATGCAACCAATTATAAAGTTGCGTTGTGACACAATGAATGCATAGACAAACCGTTCCAGAGGCTGTTACTGGAATAATAATAGAAGAAAGCTGGGATCTCACCCAAATTAAACTTTATGGTTAATTGAGTCCTGCTGAGACTCTTGTCCACTGGGACATTTGAGGTTAAGGTCTAGCAGTTTCAATGGCCCTGACAAAGGAGTAAAATGTTACAACTGCCTCAGTTCATCTGCTTCTCATGCTGCAGTTGTCAGCTTACATGATGATGCCATTTCAGTGTTGTGTATGTTGCTCTTCGGCCAGGAAGCAGATTGCCAGCTCCTCATAGCCCTGTTACCGGTTGTGGGTCTTTCTCTTTCCATGTTTGTGCCAATGAGGCAATTTTAACTCCATTTCTGGAAGATTTTATTTTTATTTTGCTTCCTAGGAATCATTCTTTCTGTGGGCTGAAAGCAGGACTGAAGAAATCATTTAAACTCCTGGCCTCCAATTTTTGGAAGCCATAATCACTTGCTCCACAGAGGGATGAAAATATATTTCTGATCCTGGGGAAAGAGTGTCAGATATTTTACATTTCCACTGCAGATGGTACGGAAATGATTCATTCTTTGGCCAATCCCATACTAAACAAACATAGGACCTTACTTCAGTGGCTAACAAACTTTTAAGATTTCCAGGGGTTTTGTTCAGCTTTCTGATTTACAAGACCACCTTGTAAAATCTAAGAAACTGAGGCCCGGGAGGATGCAATGTAAAATCTGCCCCCTCCTTTCCAAATCCCATTGAGAGGGATTGATTATGTAGTACAGTGGCCTGTAACCCTTTGGGGTTAGTGGACACCATTTAAAATTTTGTAGAGCATCATGGACACCCTCGCAAAATGGCAGCCATGGGGACAAGCCCATTCACAAAAAGGCTGCCCTAGTGAGAATGACTGGTCACAAAATGTTACTTCTGAACAGCCTGGTGTGGCTGAAAGAAAAGTAACTTGCCAAGAACCTAAGTGCAAGACAGAGGTGGATGCTGCTTTTAACATATAAACTTCTATGTGTGTGTAAAAGGAGGAATATAGACAACCAAGAGAGGTTTTTGTGGGTACCATGTTTGAGATTTGAGGTATATAGGCTTGGGATAATGTTTGGAACTTGGGATAATAGGATCAGATATCCTTTGAGAAGTCAGGCCATGACCACTAGGACACTTTCAAAGTGATTGAATAAGATTAGCTATGAAATTTAGCTCTGTAATCATTACATGGTGGGAGACTTTGGCATACCGCTGCAATCTTGCAGCCACTTTCTAGGACTGAACTTAATGGGACTTACTTCTGGTAGTTCTGGTAAATATATGTATGGACCTCTCTCCCTCCCTCCCTCCATGCGTGAAAGAGAGGGAATACAGATGCTCCATTATTTATGGTTTTATCAACTATGCGAGGGAAACCCTCTTCCAGAAAATTTGACTACGGACAAATCTATGGGCATAGTGACTGATGCCTTTTCAAATCAGAAGGTGGATAAAAACATAAGACTGTTACTAAAAGTATTCTTCAGGCTACAAGAATAAAGGAAAATTATGTAAATAAAATGCTATTGATTTTAAAAACAGCCACTTTAAAACATCCTTCATTCTGTCCTTTTTGATCAACCAAAATATGGTCCAAGAGTTGCATTGCAAATTATGCACACTGGGGGCTTGGCTCCCTTTCCTTACCTGACTCCCCCTTGGCCTGTCCCTTTTGAGTACCTTGGGGACCACCTACTGCCACTCTTTCTGCCTGAGCACCTGGTCCTTTTGGTTGATTGCTCCTAATCAACCATTTCCTGGTTATTGATCTTGACCAGTGAGTTAATCTTGAGCCTTGAGAAAGCAGAATGTGGGGGGCAGAATCATATCCCCAGACAGCACAGGGTCTTTGGTTGAAATACTGGCTGGAGCTCTTCCAGCTGGGGCTTCTGCCCAGAGCCAAGCTCGCTTGTCCACCCCTTCCTTGCACCTGGCAGGCGTTTGTGAGGCTGGTGCTCCCCAGGTTCCTGGGAATCACATGCTGAAGCCACTCCCTCCCATGCTTCCTCCCTTTTGAGGGGACAAAGCTCTGGGGCCTTGTGGGCCAGCCTGGCAGGGGAAGGTTTCCCCATCCCTTCCCTAGAGACTAAGCAATAAAAATAACGTACTCATTCACTACTCACACCTGCATTTCGTTGCAGTATGTGTTGCCTGCACACACTTGAGAAGGACGACAACTACACACTTTAAACAAGACCTTTACTTGATATCAACAGGCATGTCTCTATGCAACTAAAACTGGTGAAGCAAACAGGCAAAGGTGAAGCCACATTGGTATCCCAAATCCCTACCAGAGTAACCATTTGTCAGCTTTTCAACCAGTCCTTTTGCCTCCATAGGGCAGCTTTTAGTTAATGGCTGTTGCTTATTCCAACACCTTTTGTATTTAAAGGTGTTGGAATACTACTAATCATGCCAGAGCTTTTTGGTCTTAATTATACTTGGATCAGATTATAGTTGAGGAAAATGAAACTATCTGGTCCTTTGCTTGGAGGTCCACTGTGAGAGAGGGAAAAAACAGACACTTTGCATGGAAAAGGGGTAGGCCCAGACTCTGAAGGCACTTAGGGAATCCACCATGTTGAAACTAAGCAGGTCTGGGGCTAGAATGAGCTTGGAGGGAAGACCACGTGGGACCACAGTTTCCACAATGGGACAAAGGTGGGATATAAATATAATAAATAAAGGCCCACACTCAATATCAGGATTCTCTAGGTAGAAGAATCTGTTCCCTGTTGAGGACCCATTGCTATATGATGGCTACCAGCTTAGAAGGGTCTTGCCATTGTCTTCCTATGCACATGTGCTCAGAAGTAAGTCTCGCTGTATTTAATGGCACTTACTCCACAGTAAAGGTACACAGGATTTTTTTTCCCTTTTGAGTTCTACATTACATCAAAACCTGTTGGAATCCTCTTTCTAACAGTGGGTATAGAAGAGCCAAAGCTGGGTAAAGAAAGAGCCAAACTGAGCAGAGGTTTGCAAAGTATGTGGAGGACACTCCTAGGCTGAGGTCTTCGTGTGGCCTTCAGGCTACAGATTCCCCACCCCTGGATTACAGGACTGTGAGGAAACAATGGAGAAAAGGGTGATTTGTCACGATAACAGAGTCCTGCCCGCAGCAGTATGCCTGTGAATATCAAATGCAATGCTGGGGCGGGGGGGGGGGGGGGGAATAGGCTCCCATCTTCATCCCTTTCCCATAAATGTGAAAAAACATATCTGGCTGGCCACAGCAAGAGACAGAAAGCTGGTCTGATCCAGCAAAGTACATTCTTTTGTTCTTACGTGCTTACAGTTATGTTTTGTATTTCTAAGAAAAGGTTTGCAATTGCTGGAGAGCTCCTTTATTTTAAAAGGTCTAATCCCTCCCTCCTGTCATAATTCCAATATTAGGCAGCAAGAGCAGAACTCTTGCAACACCCACAGAAAACAGCTTCAGTTAAACACGTTTCATTCACCACCACAAATTACCCACAAAAAATTCCCCTGCTTAGACACACAAACAAGCTATTTGCTGAAAGACAATTGCTGCCAATGCACTTTCATCAGTGAAACATCAGAAGGCAAGACTGGGAGCGAGGGGAGAAATCCAAGTTGTTTGCTTAAGCAGAAACTGATTGGCCAAATTGCTCTGAATATGGACCAGACATGCGAAGTGATCACACAATGCTTAAATGGAGCAAAGAGGAGGGTGTCTAAAATTCACTGTAAAGTGAATTTTACCAAGCTCTGCAGCACATTTCTTCCAAAAGTGTAACACATCCTATTTAATGTAATAGATCTTGATACTAGATGCTCCAAGAACTTGCATTTGAAAGTGCCTTTTAAGAGCTTGTATTGCATGTTCGTTTTCTTCCCAGCACTATTTCATATGCCCTGCCTCTCTATGGAGATTTGTTTTGCTGATACAAATCTCCCCCTGCCAAACTTGCATTATCTTTTAAGAAGCAAACCCAGGCTGTGGACTTACACAGGTTTTGATCTTGTGCTACTTTAAATACGAGAGGCCCAAATGGGTTCAAATTAGGAAGTATTATCAGTATTCACTATGAAGCTGATAAAATGACAAGACGACAGAAAAGGATCCAGTGTTTATTGGTTCACCCAGTCTCAATACTGGTGGAATATGGCTACAAAACAATGGCACGTCCAGTTTCCCCCACACACATTATAGCCCAGAACAATAGTCGTCCAGAACACTGGGAAAAAACACCATGCTGGATGCTGTTTGGCAAGGGAAGTTCTGTTGCCACTCCAGATTGCACAAAGAACTGGATTTAACCAAAATAAAGGGGGGAGCATTATATGAGTAACAAAATGAAGCTTTTAACTAATGGAAAATCACACCAATGTGATGTGTCATGCATGCATAATGAACTGAATGTGATCTTTACTAAGAAAACCTAACGGAGAACTAAAATAATCTAGGTAAGATGAGATCCTGATCTGGAAATCTCATCTCTTTGCACATTCCAAGGCAGTGGGAGGGACAAATAAGATATGCAGGTTGTGGTCTGGCAACCTGAAGAACAGCATATATTAAAACAAAGGAGAAAATCATATTCCTCTATTACATTTTATTAACATGTTCTACTTTATTTTCGAGCTCTGAAAAGTCTTTCAAAAAAACTTAGTAGGAAGCAAAATGCCAAATTAAATATTTAATGCTTAAAAGAGAAAAGGAGAACTCTATTAGAAGTTATGAAATATGTTATTACAGCTGTGACATAACATGTAGGTAAACCTATACATCAGCTATACATATTGCCAACAGCTCAAGGAACCATGGTGCCAAGCTCAAGGAACCAAGGTTCAATTTGGATGTCAGGAAGTACTTCCTGACTGTTGGGACCCCAAGGGTACGGAATGGGCTTCCACAGGAGGTGGTTGAGGCCCCATTGGTAAGGGTGTTCAAGGATAGGCTGTACATGCACATGGTAGGCATGTCATGAGTGGAGCTGGCTAGATCTGGGGGTCAGACTAGATGCTCCGGGAGACCCCTTCTGACTCGCTCTGTTTTTATGTTTCTATCACACATTTGTTTCATTTTTAAAACTTAAATATGTGTTTATACAAAAATTAGAATAGATATTATAGAATTAAATATTTATAATGTGACATAATGAATTTGTCTTACCTTAATTCCTTTCAGTCCACATAAGAAGTAGTTGTGCCACACAGGTTTTGTTTTGTTAATCTGAATGTCAGTAACACTTGTACTAAAATCCCTAGAAAATAAAACCAGAAAAAAACTAAAGTGCAGAAGATTATCAATAGTTTTCCTGCTTTCAAAAATATAAATGGCCCACTACTGCCACCTGCTGGCACAGGAGAAATAAAATAATTGCTTGCCTGCAATTTTGATAAAATATTTTTCTCAACCTCTCGCTTCCTACCTTCCTCTCCTGCTATGGATTAAAGGTTAAGTGGCCTAAAAATATAATCTAGATAAAAGGATATTATGAAGGATGCAGCCTGAAATGCCTGTTTAATGGGTGACTTCCCCACATAGAGAAGCTCTTCCAAACATTTTTGCTTAAGACCAGGGAAGAATGATAAAACTGCTTGCACAAATTATGCAAATACTTGCAAATAAATGAATACTGTTATTATTCATGAATATTTTTAGTTGACAGGCAGCTCCTGTTTTTTTTAAATTGTTATTAATTCTGATTGTTGCCAGTCAGCTTTGATTTGCTTTTTCAGTGCCCCATGCGACCCAGGGAATGCTGCGAGACTTTTTTCATACATAGGATTGCAACTTCCATTGAGACTGAATTTGTTTTCCCGCACAAGGGTCCATAAGTGGGCTATAAATTATGGTGGAGGGTACCAATCAATTATTATGCTACATTTATGTCCTGCCTTTCTTCCTCTGGTGAGGAGCGCAAGACAGCTTTCGTCCTCTCCATTTTATCTTCACAGCAACCCTCTAATATAGGCTGGGCTGAAAGTCAGTCTAGCCCAGCCTTCCCCAGCCTTGTGCCTTCCAGACACATTTAGACTGCAACACCCAGAATTCCCAGTCAATGGCCCGGCTGGATGGGAATGCTGGGGGTTGCAGTCCAAATGCCCCTGAAGGCCACCAGGTTGGGAAAGGCTGGTCTAGCACACCTTACAGGCTGATGGGCCCCAAGTAATCCAGTGAGCTTCAAGGCCAGGTGGATCTTGGATTACCAGTTCCCCTCCAGCTGTTTTTGGAATAAACTTCCTGCATTCCTTTTCCAAAATTTTATCCGCAATTGTAACAAAACAAAGAGGAGGTCTACAATCACCACCAGCCACAGAAGGAATGTGGCACCCCTTAAAAGCCTACCTATTCACAATTGGTATTTACAACACAATTAAAAAGAGGAAAAATATTCAACATTCCTGTTTCCAGGATGTTCACACAAGTCTTTAAATAAGCATCCAGATAAAGCTGATGGCTGTGGTATATTAAAGTACAGGAAAATTACTAACATTTCAGACAATTGAATAATGGATGGCAGGTGTTGATCCTTCCAGGCTTGATGCATGAGTGACTTAAACTATGAGGGCTCTGAGTCTACTTTTACTGCCCATCAGTTAATTCCCAATCACGGGGATGTGATTTGAATATGCACAAACACCTGCAATTATCACGGATTGTTCAAGAGGTAAATTAATGCAGAGAGTAACTTGCAATCAAAAAGAAGCCAATGCAGGTCATACCCAGATTATAAAGCAAATGTACAGCATGTTCGAGAAGAATAGGACAGGGCACTGGAAGGCTCTATACAGCTTTAGCTTGGATAGGTACTGTTTCTGTGGATTTAAAATTGGAGCTGAATCAAGAAATGTTTGTGTTTTGGGTATACAGGACCCCACAGAGGCTGGTTAAAGTTAAGCAGCTGCTAATGCTGCTAAACTTTGTAGTGTGTACAACATCCAGCATCCCTGACCCTAGGCCTGGCTGGCTGGGGTTGATGGGAGGAAGTCCCAGGCATCTGGAGGGACCCAACCGGAGAACATTGCACTGTATTATTTAAGAACTTGAAAAGGGATCCACTGGGAGCCTGTTAGGCATTTCTTCATTTCCTTCCCATGCTTTTGTCCAACTCCTGAGGAAGCAACTGGGAACAAAGCTTAGATTTGCCCTAGCTCCCCTCTCTTTTCTCTTTGTGCTCCTCACCCTGAGGAGCAGTGAACAAGATCAACGTTAGGGTTCAAGAAGAGCCTGCATTCAAGCAACCACACGTCTCTCAACTTGAGCCCCCCTTTCCTCACACTGAGGAGTAGGGGAAGCTCTGAGAGGGCACATAACCCGAAAGCCTGCTCACTCAATACCAAAACCAGTTCTGGGTAAGGGAAAATAACAGTTGGCAGGTCTTTCCTAGAATCCCGACAGTTCCTCCATGTTTTTTAAACGCCCCTCAGGCACTGCAGATGAGCAATACCACAAAAAGGGGACATCACTTTTGATGGAAATCAGAATTTGCACTAGTTCTTATTCTTTGCCACCCAAAGTTTGACTTCTGCTGTTCGCCCTGTTCCCTTCTTTCCAAATATGAACTCCAATCTCTTCATCTGTGCATTTTCGTTCTCTTAGAAGTTCAAAAATCAAGCAATAAACTAGGGAGGGATGATTCCATGGCCTCACTTCTTACCCCATGGACTAAAATATTCTGATTTTAGGTATATAGAGCACTGAGAGTGCTTTGCAGCCTCCCTCAAACCCTGAAGACTGAAATAAAGAAATCATATGGCACATCCATCTCTATAAGCATGATACACTATAATTGAGGGAAATAAATAAATAAAGCCTGTTGCAAAGGGGACAAATACTTGACATTGTCATTATGCCTTAGAAAATAACAGTACCATAATCTTATCATGGAGTTGCCCAAAGCAACCTTTGAGTTCAGCTGCAGAAGATTTTTGGGATCCAGTGTTACAAATCAAGGGACACAAACTGTTGCTTTAGACTGATTAATTGAGGCTGTACAGATGACCAAGGGGAGTGCTCTCCCCTTTCCGCAGTAGTAGTCATCTGTATTTTTCTGCAAGACCTCTAGGATAGATATAGAATCACATCCTTTTCCTATCCATCAATAGGTTGAAGACTTTCTGTAGGATGTATCCAGACCTACAAGCTATGATCTTATTTGGGGGTTGAGATGGAAGCATTTGCTAACTAAAGGCTGGAAATGACTTTGTCCACATTATATCTCATGATCCATCCCTGTTTTTGCTCCTGTTTCTGCTCTTTTCATGCAAATGTTTGTACCAATGAGTTTGTACACTGGGAAATGAGACTGACTGCACCATGCTCAAAGTATCATTTTGCTTTTGTATCAAGTCCATTCCTATTATTATTATTATTATTATTATTATTATTATTATTATTATTACTATTATTATAACATTTCTATGCCGCCCCTTGCTGAAACCTCGGGGCGGCTTACAACACGATAAAATACAATTATTAACAGTTCTTTCCCCATTATCTGATGGTGAGTGTATATTTCACTGACGACCTATTTATTGTAGATGCTTTGGTAATTTCTTTTTATGGTACAATCATATGCGAGTTCAAACAGGTGTGAAGAGCTGCACAGACTGGCTGCTTTCAGCCCATGGTGTTCCTGTGTATCACCGAATTTGCTAACCACTCATCAGGACAGTGTGCAATTTAAAACAAAACCTTGAAACAATTTTATAAAATTGAGAGATTATAAATGGTAGGCTACTGAAACACAAAAACAACATAAGGATATTATTCAGGATCTCTGACTATGGCTAGCAATAATCAATTTAAATTACTGGGAGATGGGAAAGGCTACATAAAATCAATCCATTTTCAGGATGTCGTCACCTGTGATACTAACATGCAGGGATTCTCCGGCATGCAGCTATTACCCCTGAGAAACAGCACTCCGGTCTTTCTATGTAGCAGCAGCTGAGGGAGAGATAAGACAACCTGGCTCACTGCATTGCCTCTGCTGGGACCAATTGCCCTCTGGCGCCTTTCAGAGCCCCGTCTCCCTCAGTCTGACCATGTATGGTAACTTCATGAAGAAATAGCATCCAGGGATGTAATCCTAGATCTACTTATTTGGGAAGAATTCTGTTCCAGTTAACTCAGTAGAGCCTATTTTCAAGTTGACCTGTCCAGCAGAGGTGCTTCAGCCCAAGGGACAAATCCCATTTTGGTGAAACTCTCGGGAGACTGAATGCCAATGGTGAGAAAGGCTGAAGGCAAAGGAGGCAGGACCAAAATACACCAAACACCAGCGTGTTTCAGTTTAAAGCTCTCATTGGCAGCAACAAAGCTTTAGGAGAGGCCTTTTAGAATGAGGAGAAAGGTGCACACAAACTGAGAAATGGGGACTGGGAAAGAGGCATGGCTCTCAGAGGAACTGTGAAAAGGCAGACCGGGGCCCCAGGTGAGCTAAATTTGCTCCTCAGGCCTCTTATTCTGCACTTCTAATGTACAGAATTGCACTGTAAATTTCTTTGATTTCCTATGATACTTTCAAACCATAATCTTGCATATTTTCCTGTTTCAAACATTTTTCCTTTTATTTTGTGACTATTAGGCTGCAAGCAGATGGGATCTGTCCTGTTTATTTAATTGTTGCATAACATGTATAAACTATTAGGCACAATAGTAATAATAATGGTTATGAAATAAATCAAGCACTTACGCATACAAAGGATTTGTATTGGCCAGGTGGATAACAGGGGTGCTTACAGGTGCAGCTGCAATAAGTATATCTTGCTCTATGGCCATTGGAAGCACAGCATAACCGCAATAATCAATATGTTCACCTGCCATGAAACAGAACATTAACAAGTTTTTGGAACAATCTGGAACTCCTCAGCAGCACACTCACCCCTTCCCATTAAAAAGAAATGCCATGCTGTGAGTCATACAGGAGCCAAACGATTTTTATCAGGTAGAATATACAATGAACATCTTACCCTGAGTTCCAATTTTATTGTTTATGAGCAACAAAATACGGTTTGTATTTGGAAGCACATTGAGAGGCAGTTCACAAGAGACTAAGGATGAACAGAACAAACCAAAAAAGGGCCACACAGACATCACTGAGGCTAGAGGAAAGTCAAAGCAAACTGTTTGCAATCAATGGCTAAAACATGGCAGCCTTGAGGCCTGATATACCTTAGAGCAGGGGTCTCAAACGCGCGGCCCGCGGGCCAATTGCTGGGACGGGCGGGGCAGGGGCAGGGGCCCTGCGGCCTTCAAAGTGCCGCGGGATGAGCGGCCCACCACCACCGCGGTGGTGGAATACTTGATGCGGCCCTGCCTCACCCAGCCTCTACTTCCAGCGGCCCCCAGGTCAGTTGCGTTTGAGACCCCTGCTTTAGAGAGATTATTCCACAGAGTGGGTGCCACCACAATTCAAGGCTCACTTGTTCCCCTCGCCCTGTCCTCCTCTCATGATCCCAAGGACATCCAACACTTCAGGTCCTGCTTCTAAACAAAGTGCAGTTACCCACTCTGTTCCAACTCAGGGAACTATGCTTGGCGTAAAGTATGGTTAAGAGAACAAGCCAGGATCAAATAAAATGAGCAATATTCTCCAGTATGTCTAATGGTAGATTGCATAGTTCATTTACCATCCATGGTAAATCCCGAAGTGCAGGCACTTCTCATGACACCCAGGGAAAGTCCAAAAAATCAGGCTGCTCTGTTCATCCATAACTACAAAGCAGTTCTAACCATTTTCATCACCAAGAGCTGGCCTTTTGTAAAACTAACCATTTTTAATTGTCCACTCAAGACCAAGCCATTCCAAACTACTTTGCATTACAGCAATATATTGTGGCTGGGAAAAATTTTTTTCTTCCAGTTACAGTGAGGACTGCAGGCAGGCTCAGAAGGAAGGCTGGGGGGCTGGGGTGGCAGATGGCATCAGGGTTCCTGCTAGTAGGAAAATGGTTGGCACTAAACCCCCGTGAGCCCTGACTCCACCACACCACTGCTTCCATTCAAAGGAGACCAGGCAGAGGTACAGGTAAAAGTTCTGCCTGAGAAAGGAGTCTGCCAATCGCAGTGGATGATTACTAGGCTGGATGAGACAAAGGCCTGACTCACTACGAGGCAGATTCATTATGAGAAGGGTAGCCTACGGTAATCCAGTCTCAAGCTCACCAATGCATGAACCCACTGGTTAAGCAAATCCTGCCCAGGAATGGCCACTGGTGATGGCCAGGGCGACTTATCTTATATTGTTATTTCTTGTATTTTAATTTTATGTTGTGAGCCGCCTCGAGGCTTTGGCGAATGGGGCGGCATAGAAATGCTGTAATAAATAAATAAATAAATACACCACAGTTGGTACATGCTGCTCTGTGCTGTGGAAATCACAAGGGGTTCTAGGAGCTCCTCCAAACTGCATATCCCATTCTTTCAGATGGAGTACAATTCCGTCAAGATCAGGTAAAAACCTTCATTCCTGAATCCACGGTTCACTTATCCAAAGTGCCTCCATCATTTATTTATTTATTTTTCAATTCATATCCTGCCTTTTTCCTACAAAGGGCTCAAGGCAGCTTACATCATTCTCCTCCTCCATCTTATCCCCACAACAACAACCCTGTGAGGTAGGCTGGGCTGAGAGTCTGTGACTGGCTCAAAGTCACCCAATTGGCTCCATGGCCGAGCGGGGACTGGAACCCAGATCGTTTGAGTCCCAGTCCCGTGCTCTTAACCACTACGCCACATTGGCTCTCATCATAGCAGGATTCAAGTTTAGAGTATTGGCCCTTCTCTCCACAAACCAAATACCATAATGTCAGGGACTTTAATCCTGATTGGCCTAAAAGTTTTCTTGGTTAACCACAAGAGTCAACAATCCAGCAGCACGATTCAAAACTCCAGAAGCTCTTTATTGAAGCCAGCACCCAACAATCCAGAGCAGTGCGCTCCTCCCTCAGCACCAGCTATTAAAAGAACCAGTTGTTTTTTTACCTTTAAGAGCAAACTCAGTCATTGGTCACTGTGGCCTATCCCCATCCTTACATGGATCCCATCTTCTGCTCATGGTTAGCTAGAGAAAGCAGGCCACCTGCTGCACTTACCCAAACAGTGGGCTGTTAAGCAAAAGGTGGGGATCTATCCCATCTTTTCCCAAAATGGGTCTCAAGACAGCTCACCAGTTCTCTTGGAACTGTGCTGCATAAAAGTTCCAAGCATGAATGTCTCACCATCTCCAACTGTCCTATTACCTCTTGATGTAACTGTGTGGAAGTCTCAAAGCCAGAGTAAATATGATGTAGTGCCTGAAAGCATACTTTGTGTGCAAGCTGCTCATAATAGCATTTATTTATATCATCTATTGAACATACTCCTTTTTTTTTTACCTATTAAGTTGACTCGCCCTGGTGCTCGAACATAAAATTTTGGAGCCGATTTAAATTTGGAGACGAACATCTTCTTTAGCTTGAACAATCTGAAAAGTAGGGTAGGTTTTAAGTTATTATACCATTTGATAGCAGCAGGCATTCTAAGGGATGAGATAAAGCCTTATATTAGCTTAGTATGACCTGGTTCCAGCTTTGTAGACTAAGGGTGCAACTTATGCTGGCTGAAGAATGCTGGGAACTGCAGGACTGTTTTGGTGACCCATGCACAGGTTCATACCCTAATGAAGTTTTGTTTCTTTTCCGTATGCAGTGCAATAAACTTTGCAGAGCTGTGTGGGAGGGAAAGCAGAAAAAGGTATATACTTTGCACGTGGAAGGTCCCAGTTCCTGGTGCAGAGCAGGCATCTCAGCTAACTGGTGACATGACTGATCATTGTCCTGAACTGTGGAAAGAACTGCCACCGACCAGAATACACAATGCTGGCCTAGGTAGACAACTAGCCTCTCAAGGTATGAGACCTGGGACCTTTTCCAGGAAGCTCTTGGCAGCTGGGGCCTAAAGCAAAAGGAAGGGGGCAAAATATCCCCCCTTAAAGCTCTTAGTGGCAGGGACTGTGCCTTTAGTTTAGGAGAAGCAGTTCAGCCTCCTAGAATGAGAATGGGAAACTGCACAGAAGCAAAGAAAATAGCAACTTTTCCATGGTTGCTAAGACGTCCAGAGACCCACTGGGTCTTGGATGGGGTAAAAATACCAATGAATAAATAAATAAAATGGCTGGGGAAAGAGGTCAGTTTTGGACCTAGATTAAGACCAGAGCCAGATTTCCTCTATACATGCTATATGGGACCAAAATTCTCCCTAGCTCAGTATGGTCTTCACTGATTGGCAGCAGATCTGCAAGCTTTCAAACAGGCCTCTTTCCCTGCCCTACCTGGAGCTGCTAAGAACTTGGTCTTCTGAAATTCTAGGAAAATTTTGATTGGGGAAAAAAAGTGGCCAGGGCATCAAATCTTACGCAGCCTTGCCTCAGAGTAAACTGCACTGCAGAAGCTTACTGCACAGGATTGTAACACAAAACATATCAAGGAATAAGTAATTTATTCCATTTGAGAGCAGTCTTCCCCAAGCTGGTGCCTGCCCAATCTCCTAGACTTCTATCAGTCATGTCAACATATCCAGTGGTTAAAAATCCGGGTTGGGAAAGGCTGCTCTGGAGTATAGATGCAGTACCCCCGCAAATTACAGAAGCAGAACCATTCAACAAGGATGGGCGCAGGGAAGTGTAATTCTTTAAAGGTCACTCTACGGCACAAACTTATTGGGGTCAGACCCTCCCCGCCTCGGCGGTTGTATCCAATTTCCTTCTAATGTGACATTCATTTGAATGGGTCTGCTCTCCTCTCACGGGGTACAACCCAACGTTTCCTCCTGCGTGAGACCCTTCTCTGGCTGCTGTCGGTTAGGATTTTAATGACAGGAGGACTGCAGAGCGGCCCTGGGAGCGCCAGCCACGCACCTGGTTTCCTCCACCAGCTGGACTCGGAGGGCTGGGGGCACGTCCGTGGCCATGCTTTGCTTCTCGGCCAGCCAGCAAAACCCAGAGGCTAAGATCCTGATGGGCACAAGCCTCTTCCTTGTGACATGGCAAACGAGCGAGCAGCAGCCCTTCCTGCCGCGGCGTTTCCTCTTCGCATTCTCCGCCCAGATGAGAGTCGGTGACAACAACCTGCGCGGGCAAATGGGAATCCTGCAAACCGCGGTTTTCTTCCAAGAGAAAAGGTGCTGGAGAAATTCACGCGACGACACCTTCTACCCGGGCGAGGGAGTAAAGGAGCTTAGGCTCCTCCCCCATTTAATGCATTCATTTACACCACTTAGTGAGCAATCTTGTATGTGTTTAGTTGGGCTGGCAAATGCTGGTAACTGTAGGACATTTTACCCATCCGCCTTCTTATAGAATTAAGGGCTTCCTTTCATTTAAATAGAATAGGTTGCCTCTCCACGGGGTAATTAGCATCCCAATCGTAAATATGTTTAATGAATAGAAGTCCTCTTGGTCTTAATACATGGGATTCATTTTCACAAAATGTGAGAATAATTAGGTGCTTACTTTTATAATGGCTAAGCTTTAAATTGTGTGGTAATTGTTGTATAGTGCAGCTTATTCAAAACACTCCCTGTTGCAGGTGTTGATACTGCATATTATTTCAGAATTCATATTAGTGTCATTTGACAACTGTCCTCATGGTTGCTCCCAAGTTTTTCTAACAGCATCTCAATGCCAAATATGTATATTGATGGTGATGGTAAAGTGAAGCTAGGCCATATTGCACCATATGCCTACCCTACTGAAGAGAGAATTTTGTCAAATTTGTTCCCAATTATTCAATTTTAAAAATGCAACAAACAGAACTCAGGAATTTGAATAAAGCTTGTAAATCTCAGTCAGAAAGCACTGAACACATAAACTTCTGCCTGCAATATATCCATTAAATCAAGGTAATTTGTGGTCCTACAGCCCCCATCATGCCTCACCATTGGACACCCTAGCTAGGGGTGATGGAAGTTGTATGGCAAAACATTTGGAGGGTCACAAGTTACCAGTCCCAGTAAGTGCATGTAGCCAGAATACAGATCTGATTCCATTGCTAGCTATCTGGGTGATCGGCAGCAAATTAGCAGAGTGTTTATATTCCTGATTTTCTAATAATTGCAACAAATGAAAAGCATTCCCCAACACACTCACTCCCCAATTTAGATTGCTGAAGAATGCTTGGACTGTGCTTCTAATACTAATCAGAAATTCCTGAGCTTAACATGTGCTCTCCGATCCAAATTCTTAGCATATGACTAACCCATTCCAAGCCACTTTTTTGCACTTGGTTTTTTGTTCCTGGCTCAGGAATCTACTACAAAGTAAAACAAAACCAAAAGTAGATCCTGTAAATCTGAAGACAGCCTACTCCTGTATTAACAGCACATAAGGTATTCCTAGGGGTGGAGGAAATAGCAGCTCTCCAAGAACAGAACCAGTTGTAGATTCCATAACTCCAAGACTGTCATCTTTCCTTCCCCACTCACCACTACATTCCTTACATCTATGCAGAGCAGACAGAAATACAACAGAAATACAACAAATCCAACAGCCACGTGGCACCTTAAAGACTAAAAAATGATTGTCAACTTTTTCTGGACAGTTCCTCAGATGTGAGTGCCTGTGATGAAGCTGCAGTTTGTCGAAATAAATTTGTGGGACCATAAGATATCACGGTTTGTTTTTGTTTGCTGAAACATATTAACGTGGGTAAGCTGTGGAATGTGTTATTTTTGCTGCAATAAATGTAAGGGCACAAACCAATGCAAGTTTAACTCCCAGCTTGTGGACCGGGCCATGCAGAAAGTTGTAAGCCCTTTTCCTATCAACTTGCACAGAATCGCACCTCTAAGACAAAATTCAAGAGGCAGTTTTTTCATCAGTGTATTCTCACAACAGTCAGAAATCAGCAGCATCGTTATTTCCACTTGCCGTCATGTTCTTAAGGACGCGGAAACCCTCTCAAGAAACCGAGGAAACCCTGCATAAACTGCATCTGCAACGTACTAAGTAACACCCCCTCAGTTTGATCTTGCAGCAGTAATCTAAGAATGAGCGGGGAAAAAACTACACACTATTCGCCATTAAAAGGACAAGAAGACTGCAAGGAGTAAAATAGGACGCCGGCCGACCTAGCCAAAAACGAAACAAATCAATCCAGTGGCTGCGGTGCTGCATCTGCGTTTCGGCTGCCCGGGCCCAGTTGTTGCTAAGGCCCAGGTTACCAACGCAGGCCTAGTGCACCCACAATCAGGCTCCGTGCTCGCCACCCACGCGCCTGAGCGAAGCCGACGGGAACACGCGGGCGCAGAACGTCTGTTCCGTTCCGCCTTCAAAGCCGAGAACGGAGTCACATTGAGGTGGGGCCGCAAGGAATTGTGGGAGCAGAGGGCTGGCTGCGGCCCGTTTTCTCCTCCCTCCCCCCCGCCCCTTCTTCCCCTCCCCTCCCCCCGCGCGTCCTCCGGCCAAGATGTCTGACATGGAGGATGATTTCATGTGCGATGATGAGGAGGACTATGATCTGGTAAGTCCGCGGCCTTAAGAGCGAGGGGATGGCGACGGAGGTCGAGCTTCTCACGCGGGATGGTATCCCTCGGCCTTCACTCATCGCCGCAACCCCTTCTGGAGGGCTTCCCTTCTCTCCCCTCCCTTTCGGATGCAGTGACAGGGCAAGCCCCTTTCCTTTGCCCCGGGGGTAGGTAGTGGGGCAAGCCAAAGCTTGCGGGTGAGAGTGGTCTGAGGGGGCACCCGCTCCTATATATTCCACGCTCTAATAAAGGAGGAAAATTGCGGAGGCCACCCAAGTAGGCCCCTTTTCAGGCCCAGCTAGTCTGGCTCCTGTTTTGCATGACCTGTTTCTGTGGATGTCTGGGACGCTTGTTTGCTTATCTTGGTTATGAAGCTTAATACCAGAACAGGGCTAGGTGGGCAAAAACCAGCTGCTTGATTAATTTATATGTATGTCTATGCATTTAGTACTTGGTCAACTTTGCTGGGGTCATCTCAGGGGTGGAGAGATAAGGGATTGGAGAAATGGGGAAGCCAAAGGAATCTGCATTGCAAGTTACTATTTTCCCAAGTTTCCCTTGAGATACCTTACACGGGAAATCAGCGTTACACTCTGTGCTGCTGATACTGCATCTTGCGGAGTTCCTTTCCTTTCCATCTTCAGTGAAGTGTGCATGTGTGTAGTTGCAACATAAATCAACATCTGGTATTTTAAAAAGAAATGTGTGTGTTTATGAGGCAGCAATCTTAATACAGTCATTCTTGTTTTCTTAATAAGCAGGTGTATGAGTGTTTTGAACTGTGTCTTGCATCTCTTTTTTAGTATTTGCACAATAATTTATTAATGATTATTTGTATATGTGGTTTTATGCTGTATGCAGAGGAGAGCAGAGTTTTAAAATTGCAAATCTTGATATTTGTGTAATTGTTTACCTTGTACAAGGTAGTCCTGTTTTTGTGTAATGTATTAGTTACTTCTAGATTGCATTCTAAGCATGTTTGGTGGGATTTATCTTCTGAACAAACATGTATAGGATCAGATTGTAAAGTGGAAAAGTTATAATTTTTTGTTTTTAAAGTAAAAACGTGTGTGATGCCAGATGGTGTTAGATTCTGCAAGTCTCTGATGATGATTGTAAATTGATATTTTTCTGTGTAACAGCAAACCTTTAATGGGCTTTTCCAGTAACCATAAAAGCAGAAAACAAACTATAAGCATGGTTTTAAATTTAGACCCTTCTTTCTTGGTTTGAGAATACAGAAACAAATATTTCGGAATACTGAAGAGGATATTATGGCTATAACATCCTATTCTCTGCAAGCTATGTCAAGGGAATAAGATGGCTGTATCATGAGGAAGGGTGCTGGTTCAGTGGTAGAGTACATGGTTTCTGTTTGAAAGGTTCAAGATTTAGCCCCTGCATCTCCTGTTAGAAGGTAATTATCTGAGACCTTAGAAGGCTGCTGGTGGTCCACATGATCAATACTTGACTAAATGGGCCAATGGTGAAGAGTGTATAGCTTTTTGGATGATGTTGGAATTCAATTCCCATCATCCCTTACAACTGGCTGTGCAGCCCCCAACTGCTGAAAGAAACAAGTGGTCCATTTCAGGATATGGCAGCTTAGTATGTAGCATATTATAAATAAGGTATTGAAAAATGCTCTTCCCTACGGACATTAACAATAACATTTTATATGTATATTCAATTGATCATAGCATCAAGACTGAACGAGTCCCCTCCCCTGTCACTATATAACTTGAATATACTTGAATAATTAAGTACTTGTACTTGAATAATTAAGAATACTAGGAAGATAGTCTATAATGGTACAACATACATAATCACAGATCTGGAAGCAGTGTAAATAAAGGTAGTTGATGTGCAACGAAATATCTACCTGTGTAGCTTGATCACATACACATGCTTAGGAGGACCAACAGTTACTTGGTTCTGTTCTGAAATGGTTTTACAGCATATGAAACTACCTTAGTTTTCCTAACTCTTTGTGCAATTACCATGACTTAAAAAATAGTTGTAAAGTAAAGCTTGATTTGAACCTGCTCAGATACTACACTAAAAAAATTAATATCATATTTTCATAATAAAATTCTGGACCATATGGTTTGTGTTAATTTTGATAAGTCTGAAGGAGGCAGATAAGCCAGTGGTCTGACTTGGTATGAGCTATTTTTCATGTACAGAATTCAATCTAGTTTTGGCACCCAATTTGCTCTAACTACTGTAATATAGCTATTATGGGAAGGCGTTGCATTTCAGGACCTCTCTTGTGAGTATTCTTCATATAACTACTTCTGGGTTACAATCAAGTTCCATCTAAATATCTGTTTATCCCGTTTTGAAAGAAAAAATTGACTGCTATCCAGATCTGCAAGTTGAAGAGGGATACTATTTTGAACTGTCACGGGGTCTTAGTTGGATCGTTATCCATGAATAGTTATTTAGGTTGCACAGTACTATGCTGTGTGAATTCTTAAAGTGTCAGACAACAGATTAGACAGTAGACGGAGAATAAACTTTTGTATAAAGGATCCCATTTATTTTTATTTTTCATCAGATACCAGCAACAGCTATTAGCTGTTTCTGAAATATGAAAAGAGTATTAACCATACCTACTTAATTAACTGTTCATGAGGAAAAGTAGTATGTCTCTGCAGATCAGATCTTGGGGACAAATGGGAGCTGGCC